CGAAGTTCAGTGCAGCATCTCTCGAGACGGCCAAACACGATGCAAGACCCCATGCAAAGCAAGTCATCACCTGCTGTCGAGTTATGTGCGAGCGTTGGGGGGTATCGGGCGCTGTATCCGTCAACGGCCGCATCCCCACACCTTCTGACTTCTCTTGCTTACACGCAGCTGCAAACAAATGCCACACATGTTCAGGTTTCTCGCGCTACTATTCTGCGACATACATTTCCAGTTTCGCGAAAATCACGATCATGTCATCATGTGGGTCATAGGACAGGGGTCTCCAGGCTTCCAACTCCCTCACCCCAGCTTTGAGCGCCGGAAGCTTGACAATTCTGGTGAATGCTGAGAGGGAGGCCAAGGTGCTCGCAGAAGTGCCGCAACAAGGGCACCGCAGCGCGTGCTCCAGGCCTGTAACGCAGACGTCTGGCCGTCCCGTCATGAACCCTCCACAGATGCTCCACAGCCTCAGACATCAACTTCTGCAAACCAGGATCTTTGCGATTGGGCCTGTAGGTCAGGACACACTATACCTCCACTTTCCACATAAGCAAGTTTCCTGGTTGTCATCGCTTCACGACCCTGGCCGCCCCTAGTTGGCAATTTGAGGCGCTTCAAGTCTTCCAAAGTATCTGTCGAATCGCACAAAGTATGCAGCTGCTGGATGACAAGTTACTGTAGAGTTGTTATCGCCCTTGCACGCAAAGAACAGTTTTCACGAGGCTTCGGAAGAACGGTCGAGCGAACATAATTGAGATGCGAGCATTGGATGGCCCGCATCTGGAAGCGATTGCCAGAGCTTGACCACCTCGCGATGGTCGAGCTGAACTTTTGCTGCATTCGTGCTGAATTGTACTTCTCTCCACCCTTCACGGAAGAACGAGCCGCGTGTGTGAATGAATGACTGGACTGTTGACTACATCCAGCAACCAGGAGGACAAGCTCACTGGGCGAATGAAACTAGATTTGTTCTGGCCGCTGACTGCACAGGAATTCTGTCCTTCTCTCCTGCACTGCTGATTGCGCTCGCATATGCATGGCTGCCCAAAGAGCCCGGCCTCCAAAGACGGCAGCCCCTGAGCAGCACGTGGTGGGCCATGATGAGATCGGACAGAAGGGTGTAGGCTTAGTCTGCTGTAGAAAGTGCTCATTGCGAAAAGAGGGGAATTGCAAAATCTATCACCTTCAGTCTTTAAATCTCGACTCATATCGACAGCTCAGAACCTTCATGAACCAGCTTTTGACAATGGCTTTGCCGGCTCGAGTGGTTGCGCGCTATCACGCTGGAGAAGCAATTTCACCTCCAGTGAAAGGAGATGAGTTGTACAGTCGCCTCAGGTCAAGGACTGCTGTGCCCTTCCTGAAAACGCATGTGTCGACTGCATCAGGCCCCTTCTGAACTGCGTAGGCATACTGCCGCATACTCAAACGGTAAATGAATACTCGACAGACTCATGTGCATCACAGTCCGGCACGACCTCCACCATCTGAGTGTCCACGCGAGGCAGGCTCAGGTAGGCATCCGTTCCGAAGCCAGGCAGAGACACTAGCTGGAGAGAACCGCCCAGGTACCGCGCATGGAGCCGACTTAGTGGCAGACCGACCCCGTAGCCACTCAATGGGGAAGCTTTCTTTGAGGTCGTATACATGTACGACCACACGCGAGTGCCAACATCGATTGGAATGCCCTGCGCCCGGTCGCTGATGCGTATCATAACGTGGTCCTCATCAGCACAGACAATAATTTGGACGGGACGGTTCTCCAGGTCATCCAAGTCAGTTTCCAAATCCAGCGTGGCACGGAAGCTGTTCTTCAATAGTTCGCGCACGATGAAGCTGAGGATCCCGGGGATGTAGGCAAAACGAGGAGCAAAGCCGGCCGTCGGTGCTCCCTGAGAAAAGCCCTGCACTTGCAATGGCGGCGCACGACCAAGGAAGTCGCGACAGGCGTTTTGCACGTCCTGGGCAGCTTCCCTGCAAACTTCCACGGCATCACACTGTGGATCAATTATTCCGATCGTGTGGCGCCCAGGGTGCGCGATGGCCAAATAGTGTGTCATGAGCAAGTTACAGCCAAGACGATTCAGCAGAAAGTTGTCAAGGAACTTATTGGAAAAACCGTCGAAGTCCTGGCCTCCGCGAACCGAACGAAGCCTCTGCATGGCATGCGACATTAATTCGACCATGTTGTCTTGGCGCTTCAGAATCCTTTGAAGGGAACCCTGGAACTTCACAGGCTCTTTCGGATCTGCCTTGCGCATGTAAGAGAACGAGGCCATGTGCTTCAGATGGGCATCGACCAGCTCCGGAATCTCTTTCCACTCTGGCACCTGTTCTATCCATCGGATCCTCTCTGCGAAGCGCACAGGGATCTCATCGTGTAGAAAGGCTGCCAGTTCTGCCGGACGAGCGAACTCGTGCAGGCACCTGTGCAGGCTCACGGGGCGTGGCTTCTTTGCCGCAAACATTTCCACCTCGCTGGCACAGCGCCGTCTAGTTCTGAACTTTGGCAGCGTGCATCGGTGAAGCAACCTGAAACCAAGCATGAGGAAGCTGGCACAGGTGCCTGAGGGCACACTTCCACACTTCCTGCTCTCCTTCTCTTAGTGAAAGTCTGCTTCCATGGTGCCAAAGGGTGCTCTGCACGCCTCGAACACGCAGCACATCTAGCTCAGGCCTGCGATTCTTGAACCACGCGCTCAATTGCTCTACTACTTCAACCCCATGTCAAAGCTTGATGTGTATTCCGGATGCTCGCATCGAAAGCCTGCAGAGAAAAAGCCAAGCTTCGCACATCGGTGTCCTTCAGGTCTGTTGGCGCAAGCCTCGAGAGTGTTACGGTCAAGAAAAGGCTTCAGGCTTTCAGAGCTCACCATGACAGAATCCAGCAAAGCAGCAGAAGATACGAGACGGTGTCTGCAACAAGATTGCGACTGAGCGAGATGAGCCGCTGCGCCTCAGCTCAAGCTCCCAGAGCCTGTTCGTCGCTGCTGGGCTCAGGATGGCGCCAGCTCTGCGCAGCTCCGATCCTTTTCCAAAACCTTCCAGGCGCCATCAACGGAAAATCAAACTCCGTCTGAAGCCTAGAAAGCATTCGAAGCACTTGCCTCTTGCAACTGCCACTGTAGGTGGTCATACACCTGGCAAATGTAAAATGCAGCGTGAGATGCTACGCTGCCACAACCTTTGCAAGGCCCACGTCCGCGATACTCTTCAAGAAACTCTGCGGATTGCGAGCCTCTGCCGTGAAAAAAACAGAGCCCAAGGCATCGAGTCAAGATGTTTCTGAGCTCCGAGCTGGGAAAAGATGCGGATGGCTGAGGATGTCACGGCAAAGTCCACACATGCTGCGCACCTGAAAGGAATTAAGACTGTCAGTCTTACGCGTCACCTCAACAGATTCAGATTAGCCCTTGCCTCCTCCTCCGCCAGCGAGCTGCTCGCCGCGTTCGCCCGGAGCCAGCTTTTCAGAAGCTCACACATCCGAGTCCTCCACAAAATGCCAAGAACACCTTTGAACTCTGCTTCTCCGCTGATCCATCGACTCCTTTGTCCTAGTGCGAACGATCAAGACATTAAGTCATTAAGGCAGGCTCCCAGTCCTGGGGTCGTTCTTGTAGGATCGCCTCCAACTTGGGCCAAAATCCCCCTCGGCACGGGCTGGAACGAGAAGTAGCTGGTGTCAGGATGGTGACAAGCAGGACCGAACCGTTTTCTTCATGTCTGAAAAGCACAACGTCAAGGATTTACACATGGTTCCGAAAGACAGCAGCATGACTTCTACCTGTGTCCGACGAGGCAGGTAAAGTGCGAGTCTACTTCATCGGGCTAGCGCGAACGAACAAGTGAGTTTAGCCCGAAGCTTGACACACAGAGAAGAACGCAAGAAAGTGTGAGGCACTGCGCTAAGCTGTCGGCCAGTGCCTTGAAGACTCGCGCACGCCGAGATCGCTGGTAGTCGTTAATGACGTCCAGGGCAGACACAAGGTGGGCCTTTCACGGAGCCACCAGAGCCATTCCCGAAGCCCGGAAAACGAGCTCAAAGCTGTCCTGCTCCCAGCGCTGGACGCCCCGCTCTGTAGATGTTTGGCTACTGTTGAGCTCTCGTAGAGCCTGGGAGCTTTGGCCGGCTTTGACATCAAGGCTTTGGGTTTACGCTGCGAGGTGTTTAGCTTCGAAAAATTATCAGATATTGCTCTTTCCAAGCACCAGCATTGGAAGTGGCACTCCTGATGATTAGCAAAATAGACCAGCCCACTTGAGGTGCGGGCGGGGTCCTGCACATGTTTGTTCACGATAGCCTGCACAGCAAAACTGTGCCAGAGAGAAGCAGAAGCAAATCTCCCAACAACTGCAGCTTTAGAGGTTCCAGAGGGCATTGGGATGAATGGTCTTTGCCTGGCGATCGCCGGTCGATTTATGAAGTACGGTCCTGCAACGAATCCTGCTGGCGTGTCTGTAGTTGATGTGTGCCGCACGCCACGGCGGAGGCAAGCGACATGCCACAATCTGGGCCAGTGAACATCATAGGAGAAATCACGAATCATTACCACTCGCCCTGAGAAGAGCGAAGCCGGACCAGACAAAAAAACTGAGCCTTGCGCGCTTTGGAAAACAAGTGTTGCACTATACAGGGTCTCGTGCCCAAGCTGCACATGAAAGCAACGTAGCATGGTGAACAGGCCACACAGCCAAAGAATACAATGCTCGCAAGCGGCTTACTTTTGCTGTTCCGGCACAGAGCGCCCTGTACATGTCCTTCGCCCCGATGGTACAAGTAGCAGCTCGGTCCAGCTGCGAACTTGAAAGCTGAGCCAGGGCCGATGCCACGGGACAACTTAACCGCAAGATGCGAAGCGACAACATCGGGGGGACTGCACCCTGTTCTACCGAGATGGATCGCAGAGACTGTACAGCGCAGGGAGGAACACTCGAGGTAACGAGATCCAACTGTGATGGCAGACGCGATTCCGTCATCAGGAAGCTCATTAACGGCTCTTTCAGTAGCCGTGTGCTTGGCTCTTGGCCTCAGGCTGTCCCCCGCGTTCCGGGCTGCCCACACAACGTGTCACAAAGAGAGATGACAAGATCCGAGCGAACGTCTTCCACCTCGCAGGTCTCGTGTCAGGGGCCCTGTCACCAAGGTGGCTTACAGTCAGGCCCTTCAGCGTTGCACCTCTCGTTTACGTCAAGGCGTCTGAAAGTGACCCCGTTCAGGTCGCAACAGTTCTTCGAGTTGGATTAGTTGAATGCCGAAGGGCAGTAGTCGATATCGTCTCCAACATGTGTGGACGGTATGTTTGTAACCGCACCAGAAACAAACAAAGCAGAACCTCGACAAGAATGTTCGCTACTGGTACGACGTCTTAAGAACGCAGACATGCAACATGGCATTGGTCGAGGTGGCCTCCCAAGCCCATCGTGGTGGGGTGGCTCATCCTTCCATGAAGGTTCAAGCCTCAGTCTGCATGTCCGCTATGCCTCGAAGGTTTGCAAGCTCTACCCCGGACCCGGACCTGTTGGCATCGGCATCCAAGCTCGCATCCTTGTCGTCTGTGGCTTGGCTGGGGTCGTGCCTCGCTGGATCTCACCGCCAGCACTGCACGCGGGGGAAACGCAGTGCTCAGGGCACCACTCCAGCACGTTGAGGGGTTGCAAGGTAAGTGGCAAGGTCTTGGCCCTTGTCTTCCAAAGCTCCTACCGAGTGAAATCGAAAGATGCCTCTGCCCCGGGCCCGCCAGGCCCGCCAGGCTGTCCTGATCCCTGCGTCCCCACACGATGACAGAGATGCCTTAGTTCAGGGTAGATTATACTCATCGAACCACCCGCGACTCTGCGGAAGAGCTGCGACCATGAGAGTGGCCACAGGCCCCCATGGATCGGGCACGGCGCCTCACACGAGTCCAACACTCTCTCCAAGCAATCCAAGGGCTTCCGCTTTGGCCGAGGGGCTCTCGCGGCACCCCGTGGACAAACTGGCGGTTCACGGAGTCCGTGAAGGCGAAGACATCGCCGTTGTGCTGCGGAAAGCTGAACCTACCGCCCGCGGAGAGCCGTGGAAGTCCCTGGAAGTCCCTGGAAGTCCTGCGCCCTGGGTCTCCGGGCTGCTCCTTGGTCTCGCGGTGCTCGAAGACTAAGGCGCGCTCCTGGGAAGCGAAGCGAAGAGAACCAGTCTGCAGCTGAGGGCTAAGCCACATGCTGCGAGCTTCCTCACCAAACGAAGCCCCGATGGTCATGTTCACCCCGGAGAAGTACTGGTCTGAGTGGAAAGAAGTGAAATCCTGTCGTGGTGCATCCATCGCCGTCGGGTAGACGTACATAACAGGGTATCGAGGGTTGCTGGTCTCAAGTTCGATTCTGGCTTGAAGTGGTCAGGACTTCAGGAGTCGACAAAGCAAAGAGACGAAAGGACGAGGTCCTCCCCAGATCGGTAGTGGTTCACCAGAGACCTTGGCAAGGCCCCATGCTCCCAAACAATCACCGGCCGCCACTACTATCCGCGCATCTCTGGCTTTTGACTCAGCCATGCACCGGATTGGCTCCACCCCGAAGTAGCCGGCCAAGAAACGGACAATGCGCTCGTAAGTAGGCGACTGACGCAACCTGGCTGTCTTTACACTGCCTCTGAGACCTCAAGGAGTCTGGAGCAAGAACCATCTGCTTGCAACAGGTAACAACCCTAGGTGCATAATCCTTTAATGAATAAATCAGAGACGGCTGTGCTGCGACTCAGAGCCCAGAGCAGTGGGCCTGCGACGTGCTGCGACTCTCGGGAGCGAACGACAAAAGCAAAAAAGGCAGCGAGCAGCGAGCAGCCCGCAGCGAGCAGCGACTGCCTGTGTAAGGCGAGGCCACCACTCATCCAGGCAGGCCTGGTCGAGACTCGAGACTCGAGGCTGCCCTCCCGGTACCAGCTCCGAAAAAAAAAGCATCTCAATCTCTGCGGCCTCTGAAGCACCTTCTACTTACTTATTGTGCCGAGCGACACCCCGACCCCTGCATATGAAACCCGGTACAGCTCCCTCAGCCCAAAGCTTGTACTCCAGCTCGGAGAGTAGTGCCTTCGCATCGCCCGTCACACTTGTCACAACTTACGCAGCTAGATGTGCGAGATGTGAGAGGCATCATCCGACCCACCCGACCTGGTAGGTGGAAAAGTCAACCGGATCAGAAACAAGCGCCTGCGGGGTGGCGGCTTCCAGCACGCTGGAGGCATGTCCATACTGGAAAGGAATCAACTCAAACATCCTGGCTGGGGGAGGCACACATCGGTACAGCTACACAAGGAAAGCCTCTGCACCCGGGTATCAGCCCCGTTTCCCCACGAGCGATCCTTGTAGTAGTGCGCATTGCCATCCAGCACTGAAGAATAGACTCTGTCTACGGCAGCTTCCACCAGCTTGAAGTTCGACCTCCGGCCGTGAAGCCCCCGGAACCTTCACTGCGGGACCATGCGCTTTACCCAGAAGTTCAGAACAGTTTTAAGAACGGCAAGTCGCAGCTGCAGCTGAGCTGCAGACGCTTGTGCTGCTGCCTGGTTAGACACTGTGAGGGATCGTGGGACCGCTGGCGCCGGCTTTGTGGTCTGCTGCACCTGGCAAGCTGCGCCTAGTGTGGATCCCGAGTTTCCCACCCTTCCCTGCCTGGCTTGCTACATCCGCTTCTCTCTTGTCCTTTCTCCAGCGTGACCTGTGCACATTGGGCCGTCAAAGCAGCCAAATCGCACAAGCAAAGCGAAGCTGAGATTCTGGAAGCATCTGGGGCACGCGCTTCTTTTCCAAGCCTGCGGTGCTTGCCCAGATCTGCTTCAGCTCAGCACCATGGCCTCCTTCCCTTTGTAACCCGGCTCCCTGCCTGGCTCTGGCTGGCTCACGCTGCCGCCGCTCACGAGAGTACTCGTGGACATGAAGCCCCGAGGGTTTGGCCAGGCTACACTCTCTACGGTGCACTATTTACAGTATACTGGTACGATTTCCAGTGTCTGCTGATGAACAATCCTTGAGCTTCCTGCTTTATTCACCACGTAACTGCTGGAACTGAAAACTGAATAGGCCACTCAGACTCAATTACCCTACATCTACAGTTGGACGGGTCCAACCCGCAAGCTGTCAAGCCGACGTAGCACATGTGTGCGAAGCAGTACGGTGTGTCACTACGCATGAGGTCACTTCATGCGCCGTTTTGTAGCTGTGTGTGCTCCGAGAGGCGTGCTGGTCTTGTAAACATCTGCCATCTCTCAGATCGACATACCCTGTTGTCAACCCCCTGCAGGATTGCACTCCGTTCTGAGAGGTGGTTCCTGGATGTGGATTTATGGACAGCGGCCTGTTGCGACAGGAAGGCTTCGTGCCGCGGCACTGGGACTTCATCATTCTAGTCTTCTTTATCAAAGTTTAGATCAGGGGGGAAAAGGACCTCTTAAGTAACACACGTTTTGCATTCGACGCATGCAAACGATTGCATTGCCGATGCATGAGAAGGGCAGCAGAGGTCGAAAGTTTAGCATTGTCTTAAGTGCTAAACACCTTCCTGTCGGTGCATGGGGCAAGTTCCGCACTTCCGCTGCAGCTGCGAAGAAACTGTTGATCAAGATAAGAAGCTGCAAGAAGTGCGCAAGCCCAGCCCCGATTTTGCTAGGACTGCTGTGCTGTCAGCCCTCATCCACACGCAGCCAAAGGAAGGCTGCGTCCTACGAGTGGACCGAGGGAGGAGCCTTGACCCCACCGGAGGAGATGGCCGGGGTGGTCTTTCAAGCTCTTTCAAGCAGACCTTCAAACTCTGTGCTGGGACTCCCTGCCTTGACCTCACGCTCTGTGTGTAGGATCTGTTCGGAGGATCACTGCCCTCAGAACAAATCGGGCGACAGGCAGCCCCATGCTCTTCACCTAACTGGCAAGCTCAGAGTGCAAGCTGTGCTGCTCCATAGGTATAAAAAAATATCGTCGCAGCCCAGCCAGCTAAACAAGAGCCATCTGCAAGTTCTCTGCGAAAGATCATTCAGCTCACGAGCAGTTTCTCGCCTTAGCTGCGCCGGACATAGTAGAGTGCACAGAAGCTTCACTGGCCTATTCACAAATGCCGGCTCAAAGAGAGTCTGCTGGGCCTCTTGAAGCATCTGGCGCTCGGGACTGTCCGAGCTCTTGGCCAACGCTTTGAGCTGTGGGAAGTTCCCCGAGACCTGGTTGAGTTCAAGCTCCGGATGGACACACTGACAGATCGTCAGGACAAGGTGACATCACCAACACCGAACCTATCCGAACCTGGCACTGAGTCTCAGGCTGCTGTAATCCTCGATACGTTGCAAGGACTTGAGCTCCCTGCCCTGAGGCTGCCTAAGTCTCTCATGCCTCCCCAGGAAACGGGGAGTGAGCAACGAAAAGCTGCCACGCAACAGTTGGGCAAGAATGCGCGACAATGATGAAAGCGATTGCTTTCTCTCTCACGAAGCATCCATGATGAAGAAGCACGATAGGACACGTTGGCAAAGATAAGGCCGAGACGATTCTACCGAGCTGCATCGGAAGATGCTCTCATTGCTTGCTACAACAACTAGGGTCGGCCGCTACCAGCATGGAAGCACAAAGCTCTCAAGCAGGACAGACTCAGCAAGGGTCAACTGAGATCGCAGCATCTGAGGGTTGACAAAAAGCTTAAACTCGTACTCATGCCTCGGCCACCACGGCAGGAACACCAGCCGCTTGAATGACGACATTGTTTTTCAGGGGTCATACTTCAATCCACAGTTGGGCGCGACGAAAGGAAACAGAACGGATGCACGACTGCAGGCTCGCGAACATCGGCTGCTTGCGTAGATGTGATATGTTTCTGCACGAGACCAACAGCAGGTTCAGCAGGAACCGAAGATTTTGTCTGCATCATAAGAACCTTGCACAAACCTCCGTGCTCCACCATCCTTACATTACCAAAACCACCCCTCATTTTCTGGATGCAGCACCCCATCCAGCATATCCATGTATGATGCCGGGCCGGAGCCTCCCCGCTCCCCCCACCCCATGGTATCCTCCGGCCCCCCACCCCCTGTGGTGTGACGTCTGTGGTCTTGCTTGGGCTTGGTCTCCCCCCCCCCGTCCCCCCCCTGTAATGTGTTGTTGTCTCCCCCTCTCTGTGGTGGTGCCTTGGTGTTCGCCAGTTTAAGGTATGCAGGAACACCGGCCCTTTTTGCAAGCTTGAGTCTATTTGCCCCAGCGTGCCACCAAGCATAAGCTGCAATCTTGGCTAACTTGTCGCATGCTGTGCTGCTGTACTTACATTGGATTGGCTGCTGACTGACCAACTAGCAAACCTACGCAGGTAAGCTAACAGCTATTTGTCGACAGTTGTATTGTCATCCTTGTTGCGATTGCTACTACACTGGACTGCTTGCCGTTGCCGATGGTGCCTGGTATAGCCGTCGTCTGGTGCACTGGTGGAGCATTGCATTAACACCCGACGCCTCCTCCCCCCTGTGGTTTGGGTGGTGGATTCTCTTCCGGTGCGAAGCGTGTTTTGCAACTTGCCCCGCAAAAACAAAGACAATTATGCAAAGCACGATATCGTTGGGAAGTTGTTCCGCATGTCGAAAACTTGCGAGAGTCAGGGGAAACGTGACACCAACAACTCCTTGACATCGCGATGTGGGGGGTAGCAGCCCGGGCATAATATATGTATAATATATATATATATATATATATATATATATATAAAATATATATATATATAATATATAATATGTATTATATATACTATTTTATTTACATACGTATAACATCACCCGGCCAGCTCCTACCTTTGAATGTGGTGAAAATGCTATCTGACTCTGAACCCCCCTATGGCTGTATGCGAGAAGCACCAAAAACCAAAGAGCACAGGCTCCCTGTTTCATACGAGAAAGACGGTGTGACAAAATCCAACAGCTGAGAGCACCGCCCTGAGATCAGCGGTCCTCCGCCTGGCACCTCTCCGACACAGGGGGTGGCGTGGTTTGCCAGCACGCTCGTTCTTCGAAACGTCCAATAACTACGAAGTCCCAAGCAACCCTGGAAGCATAAGCCGAAGCTGCACGGCCGTTGGGCTCAAGGCGATCTACAGAAAAGCTGATTCGAAGACTTAGACCGCCGACTGCACTTCATCGCACATCAGATGATGATCGGATGATCGAACTAAGCTTGTCTGCTGTTCACAAACTGTCTTTGTCTGTTTGTGTCTCCCAGGTTGACTTCTTGTCTTCCACGGCCCAGGCCCTGCCAGCCTGGGTGTGATTCACGTAAATATCTCGGCCATTGAACCTGTCCCATCGTCCCATCCGGTGCTGTCAGCAAAAGAACAAACTCTATTCTCCATAGGCCCCAGCCATTCTCTCGCCCTGAGGCTCGAACTTGCTTTTCAGCTCCTCGCATGTGAGGAAGCCGAAGCCGTTCGTGGCGTTGAAAGACTTTACTCGGCCCTTAAAGACCTGCGCAGGGCTGTCCGTTCAAGGAGAAGAAATTACTTGCAGTGTCGTAACGGATACAACTTTCGAAAGAAGTGGGGTAGCTGGCGCGACGGAACTGGCACCCAAGACACAAGCACGCAACAAGCCAACATGTGGGGGAGGATGTGACGTCGAAATCTTCGATTGTGACCGTACCACTACGACTTTCGAAAGGAGACGGACGACCGTAAGCCCTAAAATCTTAGGCCCCATAAAACTAAACTTAAAGTCCATGCAGCTCCGAGTAGCCTTAAAGTGCAAACTCACTGACATACACACTCAATCATACCCCTACAGCCTGACACCCAAAAGCGCGCAAGCCCAAGCCTTACGCAAGCCTCAAACCTCAAATCTTGAAACCTAAACCTAGACATCTTCCCCTGCAGCCGTGCTGAGGGGTTCTCAAAGCTGAGGGCTTGTTTACTTTGGCCTGGTCATGTCTTTTGTAAGGCAGCCCTTGAAGGCCATCCTGAAGCAAATGACAAGTCCGCATATCGGAGTCCACAGCCCAACACGGCGAATCGGAGGATCTGCTTGGGATTCGTTTGCCGGATGCACCATGGAAAAAGACACTTTCGCCCCCGAACCCGAGAAACACGGAATTGGCACCGTTCCGTGACATCCCCCTTCCATTTACTAGGTTTCAACCGTGCACTGCAGGCAAGAAACACCCGAGCGTCAAAGGGTGAAGCCGGTGGTTGAGGAACTTGTGTTTATTACTGTTGAGCCGCGGCCCCCTCACTTTTCTGTTGATCTGGTGAGGGTGGGCGGGACAATGCAGAGTCTCCTCACGCTGGGAGGGGGGGGTTAACATGTCGAAGAACATTCACAAGCAAGTAGTTTTAATGCAGCTCGACAAGACGAGCGCTCTCCAGAACACCGGTTCCCTCCGGGACTAAAACCTAAAAGGTAGTAAAAGATGTAATAAAGTCCTACCTTGATGCCCCCCAAGGCCCTCGGCTGGGTCGGGCGACCGCTTACACTGCCACTCCATTGCTCTTCCCTCCGGCTGCCTTTCCAACGAGCTCCCGTGCCTCTTGTCCTCCGGTCACCACACAACTGAACTTCCTCTGAGCCCGGCATCTCCGAGTGCAATACCGGCCGACACAGCGAGAGAAGCCTTTAATGTCACTCTACGTCAATCTCTCTCTGCCACTGACGATGCCCTCAGTGTCCTGGAGCTGAGGTCTTTGGTCTGTCCACTTTCTCTGCCTTGGCTTTGCTGCACTATGAACTGATCACCATCCGCAAGCATCTCGGCTTTCCACCTCCATTCTGGCATTCCGCGCCTGCAATTGCAGCAGCAGAAGCTCCGAAGCGCAGAATCCCAGCTCAGACGGTCGCTGTCTGCGCCTGGGGTTTGCCGTCCTTGCTCATCTCCAGGGTGAAGCTGACTCAGTGCGTTCAGGGATTGGGGGCTCGGCGATCGCTGCAGCCCCCAACCCCACGAGAGGCGCTGGCCAAGGCTGCCCAGCTTGATGCCGCCTTCCACGGCCTGGTTGAGGAAAACGTCGTGGCCTGCCGTCTTTCGGGGTATTGTTCAAACTTGTACATAGAGAAACTCGTTTAGCCTGAAGCACCCATTGTTCTGTCACGCTTGCAGCATGTCGAAACGCCGATCTGTGAAATGGTGGCATGGCAATGCTTTGAATGCACCTGTCAAGACACCTCCTAGGGAGCTACATGCAGGAAAACTGCACCAGGCGGCACCCCGTGCAGATAAAACGGAAGGCATCGTGCTGCACTGACAAGATGCTGCACAAGGCCCCATAGGGCTATGATCCAGTGGAACGTGCACAAGGCGTAGGATCCAAACCGTCAAACTCTGTAGAAGTTTCTGCAGCTCAGACGTCAGGGTGCGCGTCTGCATCCTGACGATGAACTCCAAGGCACAAGTTCAGGAGGGCTGCCAGCCTTGCAAGGTCACGGCAAAACTGGGCTTGAGATACTGAAACCATCGACAAGCGACGGGACCACAACAGACACCCCTCTGTGCTTCCCCTCGGTCCCATCACTACTAAACCAGACTCTTTTGCTGTCTGTCGTTGGTGCTCATGTGTGCACGGGGTTCTCGACTCAGCTGAAGGAAACTCTGGCAATCATCTGCCAGGTCACATCTTGCAGACGGTGGCCAGTAGCAGACAGCCGAAGCCTACAATCAGTCTTCACGCTTTCGGCACAAGGAAATAAAGACTGTTTGGCCTTGCGCCTTGCCTGGGCCCAGCTCCGGCTGCAGGAAAAGCTCTGCACGGCGTAACGTTGTGATGCCTCAGAGTGGCCATGGTCTCGTGATGGCTCGTGTCGGCGGCCAGGTCGGGTGCAAGTGCACAAAGACACAGTCACAACTTGGCACTTATACCTGAATCTAAGCCCGCCCAGGCATCCCAGATGCATCCTGGCTCAAGACCATCAACATTCCTTTCAATGCCCAGCTGCAGGTGCCATGGTAAATTGCCATCAAGCCCAAGTTCCTTACTGCACCAGAGTCCGTTTCGCTGAGACATGCTGGTCAATGTTCCATTGCTTCATGAGAACTTGCATGGCTTTGCACACAATGCCACGGACAAGCAAGCGTCGCTATCCCTCCGATAATCCCAGAGAGCACCAGCAGAACCTTGTTGATGGCAGTGTCGCGCCACATCAATCCTGGAACGGTTGTAGCATCAGCTAAAGGGTTTCTTTCCTACACCGTCCAATGCATCCTAGACTCGTGCGGTTGTGCCTTGAATTAGCTTCACATAGGTCGCCTCAGCAGTCTGAATTGACACGCAGGCCGACATCGCGCAGGAAGCTCCGAACTTGCAAGCGAAGCGCCATGGTGATGAGGATCGGCAGCAACAGTACAGCTGTGGCATTGCGGCAGGCACTGCACTGGACCCTTTCCAGCTGCAAAGAGAACCCGCTTTTGGAGAATCTCTCGGATCCTCACGGAGCACAACACGGACAGCCCACTCAGCTGCACACCGCAGTCGCGAGTCACACGGGCCGGGCCCCCCCGCTTAACTGTTCTTCGACAGGACAGGCCAAAGCATTCCTTGGTGTTCGCAACCACTTTCTCTGAACATGCTGTGTTCCAGCTATGGCAGCAGCACGCCTCCGCGACAATATGACGACTAGCGCAGTTTTGTGCCGCTGCGATTGGTTCCAGGCTTATGATTCTGGCCGCCCTAGAGCTGATTAGGTTTCGGGATCTCCAAGGATCTCCTGCGCTTTCATGGAAGGAAGGGAATGCCTGGCCGGTATTTCCGGAGTCGATGAGCAGCCGAAATTGGAGTTTCGGGTTTTGTGCTTTAGGGATCTAAGAAGGCTTCAGCTAAGACTTGTCGATCCAGGATTTAACGGGTTTCGGTCTTTGGGGATCCAGGGTTCACATTGGGGGTTTCTAGCCTTCCGGGTTTCAATTTGAAGGATTTGGCTCCGTAGGATTCAGGCTTGGACTTTCTTGGTCTAGGGGGTTTCTTGATATTTGGGATCCAGGATTCAGGACTGTGAAAAGTAGGGTAAGAATTTTTAAGGCTCGTGGGTTTTGAGGTGTAAGACTTCAAGGCTTGAGGGCTGTGGGGCTTTTAGAAGGTTGGGGAGTTTTGGTGTATAGGGAGGGTTCGGGTTTAGGTTTTAGGCTTTGATTTTACGACTCTGGTTCCCAATTTCCTTCCGTCTCTCCTTCATTATTTCTTTCCGTGCTCCTGTTTCTTTCTTGCTTCTTTTCTGCTGGCTCCCACAGATACGGATAAAAAAACTCACTGCCAAGTCTGAAACATCCAAGCATCAGTGGTACACATCTGTCGTGGTTACCTGCACGCAGACACACTTAATCACTCCGACCACTCAAAGGCCTGCACTGGCACATTTTGGGTGGGTTCGATTGGAACTGCCTTACTCTCGACCCTTGCAGAAACTTCGGATTCGAGCCTGACCAACGTTCTGCAAATGCAGGGCTTCGCAAGGAGCCCTCGGATAGGCAAGCGAAGCGCATGCCCAGGTAGCGGAACTCCGGGCCATTGGCCAGCGTGATCCTCTGAAGAGACATGCGGGTTCAGCTATCTGGCTTGCATGAGTTTGCCTTCGCCCTGCACTGCACTTTGTGACCCCCGTAACCCAACAAGTGCCACGGCCAAATGTCCAGCCGAAGCGTTCGAGCAGCACCCCGCGAGAGAGGCCGCCGACAAGCGTAACGAGCGTCAGGACGACCCCTGCAGCGGGAGAAGCCGTGCTCAGCTCCTTTCCGAGCATTCCCTCCTGCCTAAGGCCACCAAGATCAGGCTGATGATCAGCGCCTCCACTCGCCGAACCTGCACGGCCTTCACCTCGGGGCCATGTCAAGCCCTGCTAAGGGGTTTCGAAGGAGTATGAAGGAGCTTCAACAATGCCATAATGCTAAGGTGTTTGCTGATATGTTCGCCACGCGCCACACGAATGCCTGAATAAGCCTGCCCGGTGGCAAGCAGCATCTGCAGTGTCGAACTTTGCTGAGCGGTGTTCACCAGAGCTGCGCACACAAGCGATCGACATCCCATCCTGCCTGGGAGCTGTTAATCCGCAGAGCTTGATGGCATGTGGCTCCTGGCGCAGGTTTGAGCAAATGCTGTATCCTAAGCACTAGCTTGCTAACTGTCGCAGAGCCGCACCTTGCTCCTCGCTCGATAGCGAAGCATCGGTGACTGGCCCTGTGTTGCACAAGCATGCCAAGCTTCCGAACAAACAGCCTCAACTTACACTCAGCGCCGTTGGCAGCTGAAAAAGGACCTGCCTGAGGTGCATGACTTTGTGCTCCATCTGTCACGTCCTAGACGAATCGCAGTGCCCTTCGGAAAAGGAGTATCACAACTCACTCTGAACTCAGCCTCAGCACGGTCATCGGAATCGTTCACCTCCTGCAGCTTCTCTCGCTATAGATGAAGAGGAGGCACCGCCATGCTGTGTGAATCAGGTCTTCGCTTTGCCTGGCCTGGAATTGCGGTCGACAGCAACCCCAAATCGGGTACAGCTCGCAGCTGCATGGTCCGACCTCTCGATTTCCATAGCAACAAAAGCAATCTAAGCTTCGAAAAAGCTAGAAGCTAGACGTGCCAGTAATGCTTGCATCACTCGAGATACTAGAGCATGTGCGGAGAAATGCTGATCGTAATGACAGATGCACCTTCAGCGCACAGCACGGGTCTGCCATGCATGCAAAATATGTGACTTGGAGCTCGAAAAAACGACCTGTGTATACTGGCTCTGGACATGACCTTGGCGATTTTACTTTCCTACCAGCCAAGTAAGATCAAGCAAGCTCTGCTACAGACTGGCTATTCCAAGGATGAAGCAATCGCCAGATGTAAACTAAACATTCGATAGACCGGCTTCTGTGGATCACATCATTAGTCTGAGCTTCGACTCTGAAGATGACAACACGCGCAAGGAAACGAAGATCTCGAGCCAAAAGCTGAAGCAACAATGTGCTTGCAGCACCTCCTTGATGTCGGAGTGAGATTAAAGCGAAAAGTCCTGAACAGGTCACGTGGTTCCATGTTAAATCAAGAGCCGGAGCTGCCATACTTGTTCTTCAGCTCCTCAGGTTGCAAGGAGAAAACCGCAAGTTCACTCCTACTCCTGCCTGTTCGACTTGGTCTTTTTAGCGGCCCAGGTGCTGGATTCTCGATGAATCCCCAGCCATGCTCTGGCCGGAACACCTCCCATTCGAGATACTGCAAAGCACAAGTCGAACTTTCGCTTTCACTCATTTGCCCAGTCTTCACGATGCTGGACTCTGGACTGTGGAAGGTTACGCTGTGCTCTTACATCCGATGTACAATTCAATTGACAATGTATCCATTGATGGAGCATCCCTGCAGCACACGCAAGGCCATTCGTCACTGCTGTCTCTCTCGCCGCTGGCCTTAAGGATTCCTTGGTAGCCTCAGATTCTTGGAGCAATCTTGGTGGACACAGGTAGCAGCGAAGTTAGGATGACAAGGTCAGCTTCCCAAGAGCCGTGGGTCAAGGGAACAAAGCTAACATCACTATACAAATTCCAACTTGCGGCAGCACACATCCTCCTGTCGACTCTACGCCAGCAGAAGTTGAATGAGTGTGATTCAGATGGCAAACTCAACTAACAAGCAAACCACATAGTGCACTTATTCCCAGGGTAAACTGCTCTCTATTCGGCCGGGTAACGCTTCTCTTCTTTGCCTGTCAACAAGCATTATTTAACGGAATCTCAGTTTAAACCTTCGCGCAAATCGAACAGATGAGATGATCTACTTTTCACTTCCTGACTGCGCTGCAGAACCGGCCTTTCGACACATTGGCCTAAGCGGAAATTAACAGTTTTGCCAAGGCATCTCCACACCGTGAGCGACATCGAGAGTCAGGCGTTTCTCGACGCCAAATCTTGGACCAGTGGAGAATTCTTTAACCTCGCACTGCACCAAGACAGACTAAGTCCACAAAGCCCTGTCAAACCTCACATAGATAGAGACAGAGTCTTCCCACTGCTCTCCGGTTGCAGCCTCCTCGCATTTTCCAGGGCTGCGTTTTCGGCTGCTGAGCGCCTGAGAATCAACCCGAAGATCAAAATTGGCTTTCCCAATGCCAAAGCACTGCTTTGTTCGGGCGCCAGGTCACTGTGCATCCGGGTCGTTGCGATTGGCTTCCGCCATCCTGGCACCGAGCAGTGCTCAGCACACGTGCACGCTCTGCTCCACGCCAGGAGAGACCACTAGAGGTGACGTGCTGATCTGAGGCGTCGGCTTCTGCTTTTGTAACTGCTCCGCTGCTGCTCGCCTCGGCCAGCATCTGAATCAAATCTGAGTACCCCCCGCTGGTAGCTAGGCACGGCACTGCATTGCAGAGGTCTCCTCTGCCTGGGCAGCATTCCGCAACTCCTTCCTTTCACGCCCTCACCGTCGCATCCCAAGGCTCCAGCTCCGCGGCCATCAGAGCCCTGACACAAACGGTGACAAATGGAACGGTGCCAAATGAGATCCTTGGCGTGAAAGTGACTGGTCTCGAAAGTTGCCATGCCTGGAACATCTGCAGGGACTGCAAAGCGGATTGTGCCGCGGCACTGCCCTTTCCTTCGACGACATTCCCAGCAGTAGCCGTGCTTTGGAGCCCTGGTTGCCAGCCTGAGCCAGCTGACCCAGCCATCATGCCACCGCCAGGCTGGGGTGCCTCGAGACAGAATCGAGTCTCGCGCGGCTCTCGGAGGACCGTTCGTCCGCTACGTCCCACTTCGGCCCTGGCAAGGTGGGCCCCTGGTGCACGAGAAGGACCGACCGGCCTTACGCAGAATGCCAGGCTCGTTTGAAGCTGAGGACGTCCACAGAGAAGGACGGGGTCTCTGAGGTAGCTGCATGGCTCTGTTCCCGTAGCCAGCCTGCGCCGGGATTGCGGAAAATCTGTAAGCTTGACTCAGCAAGTACCCGCTCCGGTGTTCTTGGTTGTATCTAACTCATTTCCTCGCGATATGAACGTGCACATCATCCCTGAGGCCGCGACCGATCCTTTGCCTGCATTGGGTGGACTCCTCGTACGACATGTGACATCTGGCAAAGACCCTCTTTAACAAGCCTAAAGGACAGAGGCAACTGCACAACACTGGCAGGACTGAAAAAACGTTTCTGCAGAGCTAGTCTTGCTTGCCGACTGCCCAAGTAGTGGTTGAAGAAAACCCTGCAGCGAGAATCGAAGAGTGCGAATAAGACGTCACACTCACAGATCTGGTCGGTCCAGTTCTGAAAGTTTTGGAAGGCGTAGTCGGCCATAGCCTGACACAAGTCTCATCCGAAAATTGAAAGGACATGATGACCTCCCTATCCACAACAAGGGTCATACGATATCATAACCGTTCTTGACTGCGCTGCACAGATCTAACCCTGAATGCTTTAAAATGATGCAAGCATGCCCACGGCGAGCAAAACGCAACTCAGAGAGGAGCCTGGTCCAGCCCTCTTCCGGGCACATTTGCGCCGGCCATATCCTCAGGTGGCTTTGACACACTCAACTCCATCCACATCTGCAAGAATCGCCAGGACGGCCTCTGGGCGTCGTTGCATGGCTTCTGTCTCCTGTCGAATCCATCAACCTACACGAGCTTGTACTACGGCAACTCCAACCTGGACGGGGGAGCCGAGGCCCGGTGGAGGGATGAAGCCAGCCGCCTCACGGCGACAGGCTCGTGACATGTCCAACAACTTTACAACCTGCAATTGTGGCACGTTTTCCTCAAGTTGCGCACGGTTACGTGTAACATCGGGGCAGTGCCCCCATGGTCATACTCAGTAAAGCTTGTTGAATCCCCAAGCAAGAGATTCTGCCAGAGCTTCGGGGGCCTTTCTCTGTGGTGGCGGGCTGTCCATGATGCCGGCACCTGCTCCAAAAGAATGAAACGATGGGAAGCACTAACTATCAAGCTCGTGGCGTTTCACTCCTTGCAACATTTCATCTGGTGCACACACCACAAGCCACATGCGGAATCCCGTTCACATGTCACCTGGCGTGAGGCCAACACGAGAGGGCAACAAAACTACCCGCTTGGGTTGTGTTCGAAGAAATTCACTCAAGGCTTTGATGTTCGGTTGCACCTGTGACAGTGTTAGTGTTTGTGTCTCCATATGACAGTGAGATCGTGAACGATGTGCAGACTGAATCCTTAACATACGGGTCTTGGACGCTCGAGCAAGAATGGCGCGAACAACACTCCACGAATCACTATGGCATTCTTTTGCGTTGGGTCTTTGGGGGTGTTTGGGTCGGAACTCACTCCCCTGTCACTGCCATACAAGGATTATCGGGCTATTGGGCTTGCGTCCAGCGAAGTGAGGAGCCTCGGCAGTTTGGCGTTTTGCAACATGTACAAAATACAAGCTGTGAAAACGGAATTCCAAACCGACCCTTTTCAGCCCCTGCGAAGCTACAAGTATACCGAACCATGTCCCAACAGCTCACAGTGGGGCACCAAAGCGGGCAACCGAATGGATACTACGCCTTAAAATCTGTCTTTTGTCAGCTTCAGACCAGCTGTAGCGAACAACGGGCGAAGCACGCAAAAAAACTTATTAAAAACTTAGTGCTTCAGGGATTGAATCTTAAATTTCTGCTTCAATGACTGAGTTCTTACTGCTGTAAACGGATTGAATCTTAAGTTTTGTTTTAATGAATGAGTTTTTAGTGCTGCAAAAGGGATTGGCAGCTCTCCCCAACCTTTGCAAAATAAGCTTTGTTTTGTCTATATCCTCCTGGTATGTTGGTTTTCGCCTTCAGGAAACGTTTAATTTATTAAAATGCTCCTTTTTTTACTTTTGACCCCCCGAAAGCGTTTTTCGTGTGGCTTTTTCCTTTCTGTGTGATGGAAAAGACGTTTTTACCTTCGCGGCATAACAGCAGGGAGTTTGCAGCTACAAAAACGGGGAGACTCTTGTTTCTTTAGCTTTACCCCCCGAACACGTGTGTGGCTCATCTGTGGATTGGCGCTGCCTTCTCTCGCCCAGGCCTCCTTGACCGAACATCATTGACGCGTATATGCCCAATTCTCTACAAGCGAAAAAAGGTAGTAGATCGTCGCAGTCATTCTTTATCGTGACGGGTTTAGCCAGTCGCTTATTGGCTTATTGTGGCCGAAGCTCATGCAGGGTGCCTTCGTTTCTGCTTTTCTTTTGTTCGCTTCTGACAGTTTGTTGTTTTCAGCACCGTTACCCGTCATCCCTCCCTTCAAAGCCTTCCCTTCGACCCTTCGCTTCGAAGACTTTGAGCCCCTTTCTAACACATCAGAGTGATCCGCGTCGTCCATTTGATCGTTGTTGGGCAAGCATAACTTGCACCCGACAAAGCTGTAGCAGCTTATGGGACCTGCTGGTCGCATGTGGCTCCAAGTCCTAAGGAGACGACGGTGCTCAGGGTCGTCAATGTCAAGCGATTGTGCCAAGACAACGCACGTCGTCCCAAAAGCTTACCTGGTCTTCTCGAAACCCGCTGGGCAGCCAGAACGTGGTTACGTGTTGGTGTGGAAGCACGAAAAACCTCCTACACAGTGCGTCTCATTGAGGCTGGTCCCCTCCCCCCCCGGGGTTTAACCCAGGTTTGAACCTAGGTTTGAACCTGGGTTCCCTCCCCCCGGGGGGGGGGGAACAACAACAACAACCCAGGGAACCCAGGTTTGAAACCTGGGTTTAACCTGGGTTTGAACCTGGGTTTTAACCTGGGTTAAACCTGGGTTCGAACCTGGGTTCAACCCCGGGTTAAACCCAGGTTTAAACCCAGGTTATAACCCAGGTTTGAACCCAGGTTTGAAACCCAGGTTCTAACCCAGGTTTGGAACCCGGGTTTAATGAACCCAGGTTTAACCCAGGTTTAAACCCAGGTTCCAAACCCAGGTTTGAAACCCAGGTTTGGAACCCGGGTTTAATGAACCCAGGTTTAACCCAGGTTTAAACCCAGGTTCCAAACCCAGGTTTGAAACCCAGGTTCTAACCCAGGTTTGGAACCCGGGTTTAATGAACCCAGGTTCAAACCCAGGTTTAAAACCCAGGTTTGAACCCAGGCTTGAACCCAGGTTAAACCCAGGTTCCAAGCCCAGGTTTGAAACCCAGGCTCTAACCCTGGGTTTAAACCCAAATTTAAAAACCCAGATTTAAGCCCAGGTTATAACCCAGGTTTGAACCCAGGTTTGAAACCCAGGTTCTAAAACCCAACCCAGGTAACCCAGGTTCTAACCCAGGTTTGGAACCCAAGCTTAAAGCACCCAGGTTTAACCCAGGTTAAAAGTTAAAACCCAGGTTTGAACCCAGGTTAAACCCAGGAGGGCTTCAAGGCAGGCCAAGGATTGGTTGAAGAAAGGCTTAAAGGAGGCCTGAGGAAGAGACCTGAAGGAGGACCTTCTTCGACACGAAAGGAGACGTCCACACGAAATCGCTTAAGGGGGTTAAAAGAGAATAAAACAGAAGCAGAAACATGAAAATTCAGAGACACGCAAAGGCCGCATAAAATCGTTTCAGCGGGGCTCTTAGAAGCTCAATGGAGGGGGCTGCGCCCCCCAACCCCCCGCTTTTTGTAAATTGCAAACTCCCCGCGCCTTTGAAGCCTAAACCGTAAACCTTCAACTCCAAACCCAAACCGTGCAAAGCGAAAAATTATCCAAAGAACAGGGTTCCAAAAGCAAAGAAATAAATGCCCACGAAATCGCTTTGGGATTCAAACGCGAATAAAAACAGAATCGAAGACATGAAAATGGAAGGAGCTGCGCCCCTCCAACCCCTCCGCTTTTTGTAATAACTCCCTGCGCCTTGAGCGCCTAAACCGCAAACCTTCAGCTCCAAATCCAAACCGAAAAATTGACAAAAAGAACGTGAACAGACGCCTTCTTCAAGCCAAAAGCAGATGCCGCACGAAATCGCTTAAGGGGGCTAAAAAAGGAATAAAATGGAACAGAAACATGAAAATTCAAGAGACACACAAAGGCTGCATGAAATCGTTCAGCGGGGTCCCTCAAGAGCTCAATGGGGGGAGACTGAGAGCATTCCACACGCAATCGCCTAAGAGGGTTACAAGCGAAGAAAATAAATCCGTCTAGTCTTCAAAGACGACTCAAATCCAGGTTGAAAACCAGGTTTTCAACAGACTCGGATTGAAAACCGCCAATTCGGGTTCAAACGCAGTTTAACCCAGGTTCAAAACCCAGGTTTCAACCCAGGTTCCAACCCAGGTACCAACCCAGGTTCCAACCGAGGTTCCAACCCAGGTTCTAATCCAGGTTCAAACCCAGGTTGAAGGACGCGACGTGGTGCGCGGTAGAAAATCAATCAAAGAGAGCGCCGCGCCCGAAGTCGAAGAGCGCGACCACAACACCATCCAAGACCTCAAAAAAATGCTGCTTCCTGCCAAAACACCTTCATTCGACAATCCAGCGACGTAAACTCCTTTTTCCTTTTTCTGCAGACGCTGTACTGGTTTCACGGTTTCAATGGATCTCCAAGCAACTCGTCAGTGCCACTCCCACCAGTTTCCACCCTTGATCCAAAGACTACTAGCGATCCAGATGAACTCTTTCTTCTCGCATATCACTTGGTTCCACAAAATTCCAACCCAGTCAATCCAGATTCGAAAACCCACGTTCAAATACTCTGGAGGCCCCTTCACAACAGCCACCACAATCCTGACAATTTCCGGACCCAGAAGTGGGCTTGTTGGAAGCACTACAGTGACTACAGAATCTGAACCTCGCCGCCTGCTTCAGAAACTTCGATTATGTCTTGGCCTGCTCCGAACGCAGTCATGACTACACGAGCCATGCAAAGCATTGCCAAGATCCGGCGTCGCAGGAAATCTGTGGGGAACCCATAGGAAACCCCAGGAAACCATCGGAAACCAGACCGGAAACCTTCAGAAACCCTTACGAGGGAACAGATTCACTTTTGAGGAGCATATCTATCTAGAATTCATGGGAAACCATAGCAGGCCATGACAAACATGTGGAAAACGCAGGAAACCGCAGGAAACGTGTGGGAAACCCACAGTAAACCATCGGCAACCAGACCGGAAACCATCAGAAACCCCGTACGAGGAACAAACTCACTTTTGAGGAGCATATCTATCTAGAAATCATGGGAAACCAAAGCAGCCCACAACAAAGGTGTGGAAAACGCTCGGAAACCTGGAGGAAACCGCAGGAAACCCATGGGAAACCCATGGGAAACCCATAGGAAACCACAGGAAACCATCGGAAACCAGACCGGGAACCATCGGAAACCCTTGTGAGGGGACAGATTCACCCTTTGAGCATTTACAAAAGGTTAATGCAAAGGGAAGGGGGTGAACTGCACCGTCGACAGCACTCCACACTTCATCAGTATTGTACTTCCACTCGTGCCCAAAGGGTGAAGTGAACAAGTTCTTCCGGACCTGTGTTTTGGAGAGCACCAACGGCAAGACAAGAATGCTTTCACATTGCTGATGAACCTAATTGAAGTCCTTATGTAACTGAGGGTCTCACGTGCAAACTTCTGTCGGCTTCGCTGTACATATATTAGTCTATACTAATATGGCTAATATACTACTATGTACAGTCATGTACAGCATTGACAGCAAAGGATGAGCCTACCAAGACCTAATGTATGTGAGTCTCCACGACAAAGGGCTAAGAAAAGCTTTTCAAGTGCAAGTGTCGCGAACATCTGCTGGGGCTTGAACCAACCGCGCAGGCCCCGAAGCCATCATCACATGTGAGCAACGGCCTCCCGACAACCTTTTTTGGCGTGAGCGGGCCTCGTCGACTACGGCTGTAGCACTCGGTCCCTACAAACAAGACAAACCAACAAACAAGAATCAAATACAGCGGTGAAACAGGGCGGTTCTAAACGAAGGC